AGGAAGGGAGGAAGGGAGGAAGGGAGGAAGGGAGGAAGGGAGGAAGGGAGGAAGGGAGGAAGGGAGGAAGAAAGAAAGAAAGAAAGAAAGAAAGGAAGGAAGGAAGGAAGGAAGGAAGGAAGGAAGGAAGGAAGGAAGGAAGGAAGGAAGGGCTTATTCAATAGCAGGAGATAACTTTCAGAGCATTTGTAAGGCTTTAAAAGCTTACAGGTTTTAAACTAGGACACATTAATTCCTGTGCATGGTGGGACATTCTGCCAACACATACGGCCTGACTCTCTTCTATGCCACTTTTTCGAAGTCTCCCAGATGCAAATATTTACCTCTGTACCACATGGATGAATAGGAGGGAAGGGGCAGTTCTGGACATCTTTTTCTAACTTAAAACAGCTCCCTACTAAAAATAAAAGATTTGACTTCACTAGACAATGAAACCTTTCACTTTTGTGAAGGCAATGGCCAGAGATGTTATACTCAAGAGCAAAAAAAAGCCTCTGCCTTTGCAAAGTAAACTACGGTGGATTTGGCAGCATTTTACACTTGCTTGCACAGCTGCAAATCAAGATGAAAAGACAATTCAAATTTGAAATCATGTGTTTTTTTAACAAATCCAGAGATATCACAGAGGACTGATTTCCTGGCTTTATTCCAATGACATTTTCCATACATACATTGGCCAAGGAGTGTTGTGCTTACACTTTCAATTTTCTAAAACTATATTAAATATTAAAAAGCTGCCAATAGTTTTTACTACAGAGTATATTGGAATTTATTAAGTTTACATAGCTCAGCTAGTGCTGTAAGCTGTTGAACTGTATATTTTTATTAGAAGTATTTTATTCTTTCATTCATTTATAAGTATGTACAGAATATACCATAATACAATATCTGAAAACAGATGTTCCTAATAGGCCTACTGTTGTTGTATAAAATCAGTTTGCATCACTGTGCATCACTGTGAGTCACATGAGAAGGGAATATTGTCCTTCTTCAAGTTCTTTTTTTAAAATTGAAATTTAACTTGCACTACTATTTAAACTTGAATTGTACCAGACTCAGTTTTATTCCTCAGAGTTCATTTGATACAGAGAAAGAACTATGTCTCTGTGTCTGTTTTTACTGTTTTACAGTAAGCTCATATAGGTCTTCATTTTTTTAATATTCTTACCAATATTCTAGGTTATTGAAAAAACCTACATCATGTTCATGGATGTAACATGTCAGAAGATCTTTGAGCAGTATACAGCATTCATGCTTTAAACATTCAGCTCCTGTTTCTGTGTGAGGATAATCCTGTGGCTCACCACAGAAGTCTGTTAAATACTGCAATTTTCTCTCAATGGACACAGCAATTTGGTTCATTCTGAGACATTAACATAGAGTCATCTTGCATACCTTCTGTAAGTGTTCTGTGTAAGCCTATAGAAACCTAACAGAACATATTTGTAAATTCCCCCCAGCACAGTGTGATATAAAACTAAAAATGAGAGGATATGTGTCTTTCACCTTTTCTGTAACTCTGTGAGAAGTATTGATAGTGCAAGCTATATAAATATCTATTTTTCATTTGTGTACCTAGCAAATGAAGAAATACGAAGAGCTGAAGAACTAATTTTAGTGAGATCTCTCTCCATGTCATCCACGAGCATATAGTGACTTTTATAGAATATATTTCTGTGGTTCAGTGCATGCCTCATTCTGAACAAATGAGCTAGAATCAAATCAGAAACACAGATATCATTTTAATACCAAAATCATAACTGGAGTGTTACCTCTAGCATAATATAATCAGCTTTTAGCCTTCCACATGCTGTTGGAAAGCTAGTTTGAATGAAAAGCCCTAGGAAAACAGATCCTCCTCTGAGGAAGTTACATGCTGCTCAAAATAATTAAGGAACAGCTGTAGTTTCAGAGGTTCTTCTCCAAGTCAATGGTCATTTGCAGATATTTAAAGTCAGTTTATGGAAAGTAGTCCCTAAAACTGTGAAAATTGTAAATGGCTGGAGCTTTCTGGGCAAGGCCATGAAAACACTAAAGGTAGCATCAGACAATGATTGGCTTGTTATTTCTAGTAGCATTTAATACACCAGGTGAGAGATTTCTAGTATAAAATGAAGCTGGTACAATAACAGACTGCTTTGTTACACAGTTTTTAAAAAAAGTACTATTTAATGTGAGGTGTTGCTGCTGAATTATAACAGAAATCATCATTCTATCCTGCACAAGCAGTGGAATTAGATTTCTGATGCAATGTCATGTGGTTGGTTATTTATCCATCCTAAATTTAGTCTGTATGGGGATTGGTGGTTCGAGGCTGGTATGAGAAGGCAACAATTCCAGGAACATCTGAATCCAAATACTAGGCAGCTGTAGTTCAGTTCTCTAGAGTCTGGCAAGTTTCCCTTGCCAATAATCAAAGGAGTATGTGAAATCTGAATTCAGCTGAGAGATTTGTTGTATCTCCTATTGTTCTGCATGTCTGTCTTAATCTCACATTTCAGTCTCAAACCTCTTCTAAAAAAATACCTGTACACTTCTTTTCTGTGGGGAAAAACCTTACATTGTGAATTTTGTGTTGA